TATAATTATAAATCCAGCTGAGTCTTTTTGTAAATTCGCTGCACCACTGAGGCAGAGGACATCAATCATGTATTTTTTAATTGTGCTTTTACCCATGACTTATAGATGAATTGCTGTAGGTGGTGGGGCATTAGTTACGTCATGCATGGGTTTGTGAAAGAAATTTTTAGACATCACGGGGAAGTTATGAATTCACAGAGTGGATGGATGATTGTATGGTTTGTTGTCTTGTGGTCCCTATGGTTGCCAAGAAATGGGGAAGTTTTTAATAAGAATTGGCCTTGGTGCGGGGTCGCTCCTATCATTGGATTACTAGTTACATGGAAAATTGGCCTTATACATTTGAAGAATGGAAGGCAAATCCTAGAGGGTGTTTAATAAATAAAAAAATGGGCTAAATAGTTCATGGCATAGTGAGCAATGGTGGCGTAAGAAATTGCAATATTTTAATACTTAATAGATGTATATGTGTTTGATTTCTTCTTGTATTTTTTAATAAAAGTTTAATTAAAATTTTTAAAAAAAATTTTATAAAAAATTTTGACATTTTAATTATTAAAATGTTTTAATTTTCACTTTTTTCTTCTTATTAAGATAAAAAATGTTTACACCTTATCCATACGGTGCTATATATAAGCTAAAACAAGAAATATTACCCATAGCATTAATACAAAAAGTTATTTTTGATGACAAATGTAGATAATTAAACACTACTAGAAAGATACATATAGCATAAAGTGATTTTTAATTTGTAGTTTTTTTTTTTGATAACTCCAAAATTTGTATTAAAAAAAGTACAAAAAATATTCACTCATATACTATTAAAAAAAAAAACATGAAAATTAAGATTCCTCCAGAAAAAACCAAAAATTGGCACCAATCACCAAAGTAAAACATAGGAGAGAAAGAATTCTCTTTAATCCAGCCGAAAGTTTTTGACTGAGCTAAATCTACCAAATTATTCTCATCCGAAGAAAGCTTACCAAAGATACTACTATTTCTGAAGAGCCAAATGTACCATGTTGTTGTTAAAATTGTCAAAATCCAACAGTTTCTTGATTTCCTAGGGACACGAAGAAAGGTGAGTTGCAGTAATATGTCTGATGCATTGTCTGAAGGGACAACAGAGAGCCCCCACCAGCAACAGATTCTACTGCAGAGGTTTTGAGATCGTCAGCACTTAGCAAACACATGATTAATATTTTCTAAATTTAAATATAAAATAAATTACTTCATTTATTACTAGCAATTAATTTTATATTAAATATATATCTCGTATTAATACCCACATACTAAATTTTCAGATACTTTACTAACCATCATTATCGTTTCATTTATAAAATTTCATTATTATTCAGTCCACTTTTGTAACTTAAATATGATATAAGTAACTCTATCTATTACTAACCAAAGCAGATTCGTTTCATGTCTTGTCTTTGTTGACTGCCATCTTTGTTGACAGCCGTGCATGAACGTCTAACCGTTGTTTTCTCTACATTGAAGTATTAGTGCAAATACTACAACCAAAAGTCCTCTTCTTCCACTCTCTTTAAAAAAAAAGAGAGAGAGAAAAAAATTCCTAGTTAAAAAACAATACTTAATCATTTTTTTTTAAAGTTATGAAATCTTGTTATATGTTTGGTTAAATGTTAATTTTGATCCTTTAACTTTAAGATTTTGTATAATTTTGATTCTTTTAACTTTTTTATACACTTTTTTAGTCTTTTAATTATAAAAAATGCACTTTTTTAGTTTTTTGTTAGTTTATTCGTTAAGTTTGTCTAAATATGCATATTTTTAGTCCCTCAACTTAAAGTTAAGGGACTTGAAATGTGTATATATCAAAAATTGAGGAACTAAAAATATAAAGATTCAGATAGACTTAATGGACTAATTGACGAAAAGACAAAAAAAGTGTATTTTTCATAATTGAAGAACAAAACAAGTGCATAAAAAGTTGAGGGATCAAAATTATGTAAAACTTTAAAGTTGAGAGACTAAAATTAACATTTAACCTATATGTTTTTACCTATGCAAGAATCAAGAACTCAGAATAATTTAAATTTCTTTTGTCAATCGGTTTCATTTTTTTTTTTTTTGAAAACCAACATAGAAATAAGTAGTAATACCAAACGATCTCCTCGTTTTTTTTTTCAAACATAAACCAAAATGGCAAAATCCACAACACATATCATCAATTCATGCATCTGTTCAGTAAAAAGGTCAATCAACACTACGGCAATGTGGATAAGTGGCTATTATCAACAAATATTATTGAAAAATGTTGTCAATAAATTATTTTAAAACTGAATTAAGCTATCATGATTTGAAAGTTGAAAATAAAAAAATGGTATAAAAAAATGGAAGTTGAAATGAAGGCAGATTTGTGGAAGTGCGTAGAGGATGGTAGATGGGAGTAGTGTGTGGAGCCGGAGACAAAATGCTAAGCAAGCCTATTCACTTATAATTTTTTTTTCCATCAGCATTTCAGAATCACACGAGCACAGCTAACTCCTTATTTATTTATTTATTTTTTTAAAATTTTTAAATTTTTTATTTTCTCACTTCACTAATCAGTACTAATTAAACCATATATGCAATTATTTAGGGAAGGTTGTTAAGGGAAAAACAAATGCACATGCACCCTTCTTCATCCTCCCAAAAGTTTGTGTCACCCGTGAGTCAAAGCTCATGACCTCACGCGGGTCAGCAAGTCCCACGCACTTCACGGTTAAAACTCTCCTTGAAATTTTTATATAAGCAGGTTTGGTTTTGGACCTTGAAAAACAAGCAGTAGTATATACTTCGTCATGGCTTTTCAACTCTCGATCTTCACCAAGAGAGAGTTTCAGGTTCGTACTGGTTAACCTTTGATTTTGTGGCTTGATGATTTGCGATCGATCGAACTTTTTTGGGCTTATTACTTCCCCTTTGTTTCAGCTAGGTATTTGCCGAAGGTTGGGTTAAGAAACAAGAGTGGGTTAGGGGATGGATGTGCAGCTGATGCACTTGAATCCAATAACGGGTGAGTGGATTCCATGCTATGCTTGTTAAGTGAGCAGTCTTTTGCCGGTTAACCTTTGTTTCGTTGTCTGTTCGACCTTGAACGTATCATCATCCACAAAACCCTAGTCTCAATAATTTCATTAGGATTAATTAATTATATGACGACTGAACTAATTAAACTCAAATCACTAATCGCATATACATACTTTTTCTTTGCTCCGTACGTTTGGTAGGTATATATATAAGCGTCGCTAAATTTGTTGTTTCCATTATAGCAAAGCAAAAGCTTCATTTCTGACTTTCTGGTGTAACCGGAAATATATGATCTATGTTTACAGTTTGGTGTATAGAGTATGGACCATGATGAGGATCTAGCTAACTGAAACAGGATTGGTCCCAAGGTTAAATTGGGCTGTCTTTATGAAAATCATTAATTATATTAACATTTAATCATCATTTTCAGCTTTTTGATATCAACCAGCGAGGTTATATTTACATCTAATCATTCTTGAGTTTGGTTGATAGAAAAAAAAAAAAAAAAACTAAGTGATACCGTAATAAAAAATTTTATTTTTTTTGACAAATCCATATATATTTTTTTAAAATGTATCGAACGTTAGCTGGGTCTAGTAAACTGAACTGATAAAAAAAATGTATTTTACTAAGAAGTAGAACTTCCGCTGTTGATAATTAGGAAGGTCGGTCTTTGTCAAGTTAAATTCAAACCAAAGGTCAAATGTAATAAAGCCTTGGGAAATGTAATCACTGCAGCTTAGTAGCACCAGGTTAGTATTTTGAAAACTTCATCGGTTGTTATTTATATAATTAACTCTCAACTAACACTGGCTACATGTAACCCCTAATCTCTTTTTTGTTTTTTAATTTAAAATGTGAAAAAGGGTTCTGCAATGGATTGTTTTGTAGTAGTAGCCTAGTAGGGGAGGGGAACCCTTGAGTTCTTAGCAAGCTGATTTGGAAAAGATTCCCATGTAATCTCAATGGATTGTTTTGTAGTAGTAGCCTAGTAGGGGAGGGGAACCCTTGAGTTCTTAGCAAGCTGATTTGGAAAAGATTCCCATGTAATCTCACCTTCCATCAGTATTAATTGTTACTTCCAAATGGCCAGCCATGGTGACCAAAAGAAGCCTAACTAAACTTTATATACATAGGTATAAGTAAGGATCTACTAAAATTTTATACTTTTAATAATTGAGTTTTATTTACATTTATTAAAAATAATTATTTTTTTACTTAAAAAGTCATAATAAATCTCAATTATTAAAAATAAAAAAATGAAAGATTAAAATTTTATATAAATGTGGTATGTAAAACTTATGTATGAGTGGATTCCTCCTCTATAGGTATATATGGATAAAATGTGAATTTTATTAATTTATCCAAAGTATCCCTTCTTCATGGTAAAATGTAAAGTTTAAGGTCGAACATACAATGAAAGTGAGGTCTATGAGCAAAGGACTCTTCATTTGACTGGCTGTTGCACGGAATTTAACACCTTTTACCTTAGTTCTACGTGTTTCTGTGCAACATATATTTACATGTGTACATGTCAAAATTCACTTTCACAAAGTAGGTAAAAACCAAGAATGAGTGCTAGTGACACTCGTCTTTTCTGCACTACTTTATCAACCTCTCACGATATATCTCTATCATTCCACATGGTAGGTTAAATTATTTAAAGTTGAAATTATCAATTCATGAACCAATTACATTATGAGGGTTAAAAAAAGGTGAAAAAAAAAGGTGTTCCTAGCATTTTTCAAACGAAGATGGTAGCAGGTGCAATATTCTTTCTCCCTCTTTTCTTATATGTGTTTGCACAAGGGATAACGCTTTTAATATTCTTCTTCTTCTTCTTTTTATTAGAAAAGAAAAATAATTTGCATACAGTTATACAAAAAAAAAAAAAAAAAAAGAAAAAGAAAAAGGAAAAAAGAGATGTGTATCATAGACGAAGCCAGGAAATTCAATTAGGAGGGACAAAAAATTATTGTTAAAGATTTGAGTATTTAAAAGTATCTTTTATGACACTAATTCATTTTCTCTTAAATTTTCTTTCTTTTTTTTTATTAATATATTCTTACCAAAAATTAGAACTAAATATATTTGCTATAATAAAAAACAAAATGTCATAGTAATAAATCATGCAATGATTAATTGAAAAATGAATAAAAAAAAGAGAAGGGTTTTTCTAATCTATGTCTTAAGGGATATAATTAATATACCTTTTTATAATTAATTTGTATAAAAAGATAAATGTTGACTTTAAATTAATAAATAAATTAATTAAAATCATTCATATGTCAATGATGTTAAAATAAATATTAACATTTATAAATTTTTATGTAATTTAATTAAAAAAATACATTTATTGCACATTTAACCTGTGCTATTAAGGCATAGATTAGACAAACTTAAAAGAGAAATGTGTTTGTTAGCTGAATTTCTAAAAAATTAGAAGAAAAATACCATAAAATTATATTGGCTATTAAACTCACATTGAAAAAGACAAAAACAACATAATCTTAAAGTAAGAATGTGAGTATTTTGATTTTATTGAAGTAACGTATTTTTAAGGTGTTTTCCTCTTAATAATGTTGTGGAGATAATGTTGATAAATATTAATATTATAAAAAAATAACAGAATATTTCTTTGTTTAGGTCTTAAATATTTTCTCTACATTTGAAATGGTCTTTGAAATTCATATCATTAAAACAAACACTACTAGAAAACAAGGTTTAGGCGACATAATTTTTTATCAATTATAAGGGAAATGTTATCGATAGCAAGTTTTGTCAAATAAATAAGGGTAAAAAATAAATATATTTTTGTCGATTAAACTTTTTTTCAGCAATAAAAAAAATTTAGAATTAAAAAATGTAGAATTAAATTTTTAATTTTGTGGTTATTAATTAAATTATAAAGTCATTAAACAAAATTCAATGATAAAATCAATCAAATGTAACAACAATATATATAAAATAATTTTGAGAATAATTGAAAAGCAAGAACAATATTCAAATATTATGAGAATCAATGGAAAAATAAGATAAATGATAAGTAATTTACTTATAATGAAATAAAAATATCTGTAAAAACAAAAAGAAAAAACTTTGTTATACATTATAAGATTTTATTCAAGTAAAAGGAAATGAAAAATATAAATCAAAATGTGAATTTACCTCATAAAATGATTTTAAGCTTAATAATCTGCAAAAAGAAAAATAAAAAATCATTAGTAGATCAAATAAAAGTAATTGGATGATAAATGAAAATAACAAAAAATAAATGAAAAAAATAAAAAATAAAAACCTTGAGATGAAAGAACGAAAGAAAATGATGGAAAAGTAGAAGGATGACAACCAAAAAAGAAAATAGGAAAGGTAGAAGGAATGATGAAAGAAAAGTAGAAACAAGGGGGAGAGATGAAGACATGAAATGCAAGAATTAGAGAGGTAGAAGGAACCAACGATCTGTTGGTCCAAGTGGAAGGTGGTCGGTTCCTATTAAGAAAGGTTTTGAGTTCAAGTTTTGTGAATAGAGAAATAGGCATTGGGAGAACTTTCCACTTAATGGGGTTTGACCCAGTTTGATTCAAGATTAGTCGGGACCCAATATGGTTATCGGATAATGGGAGGTTAGTACCAAAAAAAAAAAAGAAAGGTAGAAGGAAAGGGAGAAGATGAAAGAAGAAAGAAAAATAAAAATGAAAGGGAGAAGAAGAAGAAGAAGATAAGAACAAAGGGAGAAGGGAAACGATGTTAAACATTTGTGGAGAAGGAAGGAGGAGGGGAGAGGTAGGAGAAAATGAGATGAGAAAATAATTGTTGATATGTTTCTATGTTCATATATATATATATAGACAAAATATATTTAACTATCAATTATATTTTAAAATGGCTGTCAATTAAGTTTCAAATTTGATCAACTGTGAAATTTAACTTTTTTTTGGGTGAGGAAGGCAATATGAGTATAATTGATAACCAATAGTGATTGTCGATTATATTATAATTTTATAAATATATATATTAATATTTAACTTTTCATTTATAATATTTATAAATATTACATATCTCGTAAATCATAAATTTAGTAATAAAAATTTAACATTATCAAATATGAGATTATTTTTAGTTAATATTATACATATATATACTTTGATTAATTTATCAATTCTAACATTATATATTTATAGTTAATTTAGTCATTATATATACACAAAATATATATAATATTAATTAAAAATAATATCACATTTTTTTTTAACAACCAAGAATATTTTTATTAAGAAACTGAGTACAAGGGTACTCAAACCCATTTACGAACATGCAAAAATACAAGCCAATTCAAGTTCCCCCATCTTTCAGACCTATCCTTCTCCAATTTATTTATTCTCCCCACAATTAATAGTAAGGCATGAAATTGGATCCAGCAACCAGTTTGAAAGATTGAAGTAACACCTAGCTTTCCTTGCCTTAATCCATACACAAGATCTCAATTGAATAACATCAAATATCTTACCCCTAATTACCTCCGAATCTTGGAAAATCTTTTGATTTCATGCAAGCCACAATGTCCAAACCATTGTGCTTCAGATGCAGTCCTATCCTTCTTTGATGTTTGGATGTTTGGTCTATGTCCCAAAGTTTTCAAAGGTTTTCCTATAGTCCTTGTCTAACTTGATGGTAATCCCCCACCAGTTAGCACATGCCACCCATATCCACTTAACTACATTGCAATTCAAAAACAAGTGATTAGTGTTCTCGTCCTCAACCTCACACAAAGTACACTTCCCATATCCCATATCCTTGATGACTCCTCTCTTGAACAAATTCAGTTTGGTTGGAATTCTATCCATCATTACTTTCCAGTTAAACGCAACAATTTACTTGGGAGAATAGGATTCCATACCCTCTTGAAGAATTTTGTTTCAACTGGTCCCCTTTCTTCTTTTCTTAATATCGCGTATGCAATTGAGGTTGAGTAAAGGCCATCCTCACTATGCCTCCATTCCCATTCATCTGGACATCTTGGATAGATCTTCACCTCCTCTATCATCTTGTAGAGTTCTTTTGCCTCATCTTCTTCCCATTGAAATAGGATTCTTCTCCATGATAGGTTCCATTTCCATGAGCCGCTTTGAGTGTTACCCATTTGATAGCATTCCTTCTCTTTCCTTGTTGA